GTTGCTATCACAGCATCCAGATTGGGATCTGTAGTAGAATTTCCTGGACGATTAGCAACATTTTCTGTTACTGCTTCATCCCAAGGTAGAGGAATAAAACACCAATACATAGGATTACAATCAAGAAATGAATGAAGTACTGCTGGACAACGAGCTGAATGTTGATAGAGACGCATTTGATTAGCCATTTCTTTTCTACAACAATGAAAAAGAAAACAATGAATATGTAGCATAATTGAAAGAATGATCGAATATCTTTTATTACTCTCTTTCATTAGGATCGATTTGTGATCCTCGAAATAGAGGACTACCAGTTAATTTTTCATGTATAATTCGATTGCCATGTTCTCGATGATCTGTATATCATAAGAAAATGAAGAAGAGAAATAAAGGCATGCTCATGATTATCGTAAGAAAATTTATATTTACAAGCCATAACATCAGCCAATGTTTTTGCTGTTGAATCAATATAATCATAATGACCACATGGACATGTCATGGCATAAATTATATTCGATGTAGTACATGTCTAAATTTTAGTCATAGTCGATCGATATAAAATTCAACATTTAAGAACAACATACTACTGGACAATTGAGATAGGTAGTATAACCATTGAGAAATCGATGCATTGAACTTGAAGCAAAATTAACAATTGACCATGGTTGACTTTTCTTGTAAGTATTTAATGGAAGACAACATTGACAAAAAAGATTATCACATGGAACCAATGAATATCTTGCTTGAGGTTCATCTCTTCCACAAAATAGACCTTCTATATTAGATGGAGGTTGAGCTCCTCGAAACGAACAAGTTTTCATATAGAATAAATCCACTAAAAAATATGAAACATATATGCATCATATATGTCGACATGAAGACTAACCATCGATTTGTAAATAGAATTCCAATGCCATAGCCATTTGTCTCGAATTGGGTGTTGGTTCTTTTAGAGCAACATCACTCTTACATAGAACATGTCGTCGAAATGATTCATGGAATGCAAGAAGAGTATGACAGATGCTACGAAGTCGTTGTGCATTGAA